AAAGAGACCCCCCACGGAGGTTGAGGGGGAAAAAAAAAAAAAAAAATTATATATGGGATGTACCACCGACAAATAACTGAAGTGGCTGATATCAGGAAATCCTACCAATGGCTGGAAAAAGCTGGACTCAAGGACAGCACAGAGGCTCTCATCCTGGCTACACAGGAACAGGCCCTAAACACCAGAGCAATAGAGGCTCAGATCTACCACACCAGACAAGACCCAAGGTGTAGGTTGTGCAAGGAGGAACCTGAGACAGTCCAGCACATAACAGCAGGGTGCAAGATGCTGGCAGGGAAAGCGTACATGGAAAGACATAACCAAGTGGCGAGCATAGTGTACAGGAACATCTGTGCAGAATATGGACTGGAAGCCCCGAGCTTGAAGTGGGGAACACCCCCAAAGGTGGTGGAGAATGACCGAGCTAAGATCCTGTGGGACTTCCAGATCCAGACAGACAAGATGGTAATGGCGAACCAACTGGACATTGTGGTGGTGGATAAAGAACAGAGGAAAGCCGTTGTGGTGGATGTAGCAATACCAAGTGACCACAACATCAGGAAAAAGGAGCATGAGAAACTGGAGAAATACCAGGGCATCAGAGAGGAACTGGAAAAGGCCTGGAAGGTGAAGACCACAGTGGTGCCTGTGGTCATCGGGGTCCTCAGGCAGTCACCCCCAAACTGGAGCAGTGGCTAAAACAGATCCCGGGAACAACATCAGACATCTCAGTTCAGAAATGTGCAGTTCTAGGCACAGCCAAGATACTGGAGGAACCCTCAAGCTCCCAGGCCTCTGGTAGAGGACCCGAGCTCAGAGGATGAAAGAGAGACCACCCGCGGAGGGTGAGAAGGGAATTTTTATATTTTTTTTTATATATATACATGTTAAATCTGTCTCTTTCACTTTAATTTCGAATCTAATAAATTAATATTAGTTTGTTACTTTCACTTTAAATTATTCGTCACTCCTGCAACAAACGTGACAGATTTACGCCGCGTCTCTTCAGCAAGAAACCAAATGGTGATGTTAGTTCTTATTAAAAGAGTAATGCCTGCATTTTTGGATCACCCTTCAAGATAAGACTGGTCAGAGCTTGTGATTGGCTGGACATTGTTTTGTTCAGCAAACAGCTGACAGCACACGGGTAACCCCCATTTCCTGCACAGAGCATTTATGGGGAAGGTAAAAGTGCTGACACCATCCTGCATTGGCAATAAGCTGTGACACATCCAGTCCATATATGTCTTCATGAATGACTTTTTAGTTTAGAACAAAACTGTCTCTTTCTCTTTCTAGCATAAACCACATGTCATTGTCCATATATGGTAGTGCTTCCTGTTGCAAGGACAGGAACTATTGATTTCTTTTGTCTTAATCAAGATATGAAATTAATTATGTGCTGTAAAAAAAGAAAACATGGAAGTGAAAATAAAATTCATTTATATTTTACATTTCTTTCTTTGTATGTTTTTAAATAAGATGATATTTTTGCTTTAAGATAAAGATAATTGTAAGACAATATGAGAAAAATCAAAAATTACTATTAAATATGTTTCACATTGCTGCAATGTTCCACAGATTTCTTTGGTACACTCTTGGCTTTTTGCAATATTTTTTATTTTAATTGTTTTACGTTTTACAGGATATTTAGAGGAATTAAATAAAAAAGAATAAATAAGAAATCATTATTCATAAATGCAGAATTAAGATTCATCGCTGCACCGTACCTTCGGTTAAAGAAAGCCTCTATGATCTCTTTGCGAATGGGATTGTATTTCAGAGAAGAGATGCCCAGGAAATCTTCCCTCCTGAGGGAAGTAAAGTTAAGATGTCAAACTTGGTGTAATATCCCAGCCAGCATAATATGTGATTAGTTTCATGTTAGATGAGATGACTGAAGCTTTGTAATTAAGGTTTCCAGCTTTAAAAACAATCAAGTTGGCATAGCATGATTTGTAACTGACTGGAAATGGCTTGTAAATGACTGAAGTAGTCAAGATCCAAGAAATCAGCGAAAATAAGGAACTTACAGCTTACCTTAAAACATCATCTCCATCACTCAGCTGTTTGAACCTCTTGTGGAGGACTCTAATCTGCCTAAGTGAAACTGAAAACAAACCACAAAGCGAGCAAATACTGTAAATAATCATGCAATTTGTAAGTTTAAGCTGGAAATTCAAGGGTCCCTTTTCACTTATGGAAGCTTCCCAGCAACCTGTTTTGTGTATTCAAATTTCATTTTCCACTCTTTTAGTTTGCATCCTGTGCGTCTACCAATAAACTTCTGAGAGAATAGAGGAGTTCACTTGACAAGTGGTGAACAGTAATCTATTATTAACAGCATTGTGCTTTGTAAAGGATAATGTTACACTTCCCTGAACTTTCACTCTAAATTATTCACCACTCCTGCGTCACACTTGACAGATTTACGCGTCTTTTTCACCAAATGGTGGTTTCTTATTAAAAGAATAACGATTGCTTCTTCTTCTTCTTTTTTTTTTTTTTTTTTGCATCCCGCTTCAAGACAAGACTGAAAAATGAAAAAGCATTTCCGTTTCACGAAGCTCTTTATACTTCCTTCTCGTCCGGCAGGGATTGATAACAGATAATGATTACTCACAGCCAGTTTTCTCCGACAGGTCATGGTGTTCAATCGGAGCCGGTGTAGACTTTAGTGCTCCCATCGTTGCTGAAGGCTCTCTCTCCCCTCTCCGACCTGTGGAGTTGTCTAGGCACCACGCAGCCCAGGATGTACTCGACAGGGATCAATGCGATCATGTTTCACAAAAATCCGTGTCCATATTAGTGTTTACCTCAGATCCCCGGGCTCCCACCTGTTTTCGCTTTCGTGTGGAGGCCAAGCAGTTCTCATCCCCCTGCAGGCAGCGACGGCTACTTCCGCAACACCCGTTCCTATGACGACACGGTCCTAAAAACAAACCGGTAACGTCTGATTTAGATGTCTGAAGCTTTTAATTACTTAATGGCTGGTTTGAGTGGAGTAAAAGGAGACATTATTTTAATTTAGGTTAATCATATTGAGTTAAAATATCATTGAACGATTCAGTTATTTCAATAACTCAATTCAGTAAGAGAAACGCATGTTGATTAATTATTTCTGTTAATTATATTTTTAACCTTACAGCTATATAAGTAAATCAGACTTGCATGAGAACAACAAAAAGCACGTTTTACTTACAGAAATTAGACCTTAATAAATGTACCTTGAAGGTTATTTTCTATAGGTACTTTTAATTTGACCACTAGCTTTAGCAGAATGCACATTAATTTAGTGAAAATGACTAATGTCACCCTTCTTTTTTCATTCTGAGTCAGTAGGTTCACTTGATGACACACTTGATTTATTCTTAGACGGAAAAAAAAAAATCTAAGTTGGTGGTTACAATCAACCAGAAGCTTCAGCTCTAAAGTTACAAGAGCAGCATAAAAATGAGATAAACTGACTATATAAGTTCACATAATTAACCCCTGGCATAAATAACAATAAATATAAACATTTCAATAAAGGAATGAGAATGCATTCACACATAACATTCAAAGACTATCCCACGATTGTAACAAAAACATTACTTTATATATATAAAAAAAGACTAACAACAGAGAAAAAAACTAATTGGTGATTAACATCCAATATAGCAGCTTCTGTCCATATCCATAACAAATAAATACAATAAATAAAGCTAAGCAAAGTACACAGTGATTAATTCCCAATGAACAGTTGACAAAATAGTTTACATTTGCAAAATAAAATACAGCTGAAATGGACAACGTTCAAAATATATATTCTAAACATGGTGAAAATGCACATGAAACCCTACACATGATTAGATTTGTCTAAAATAAATGCTAAAATATAATACTGGTAAGGAAAACACAGAGCTGATCCTAATACATACCACAGTTACAGACGGCAACAGAAAAAGGCTAACTGTCACTGGTAGCTATGGTAACCACCAACTGTCAACTTAACAATAAAAGTCATGATAAAATAACTAAACAAAACTAATTTGTAAAATAAATAAACCAGTTTTAACAAACTTCACATCTACATTAATGTTCCTAAAAACCCATTTAAACTGCGAATCCTATTTGCAGTTCAAATTAATTATTTTAAAAACAGAAGAAAAATGATGCACATCTTTTTAGATCCTTGTTGCAAATCAAAATCTAAAAAGTGTGGCATGAATTTCTATGCAAACCCATGTACTCTGTTACCCCTAAATAAAATCCAGCACATCCAGTTGCCTAAAGAAATTACCCAATTTATGAACTAAGATTTGTTGAAGAATGTTAGTGGAAGGCCAGGAAGGACACTGCACATTTCGGAGATAAAGGTGCAGGAATGTTTAAGAACCCATTTCTTTAAAATGTTGTTTAAATTATGAGTAGTATTACATATAATTTAGTCTTTTGCAGAATAATTTATTCCTTTGAACTTTTCCTTAATCACATTGCATACTGATTGACAAAGGCAAAATCATGCAGTTGTGAAGTACAGGAAGCTATCATTTGCAGCTGTTACAGCTGAATATGTTTCCAAACCAAATAAGCTTAAAATTTCTGTGACTAGTTTTGTGCTGAGGGATGTATATGTAAATATATAAGTTATATGTTCTCCAGAAAATCGTTATCAGATCTTTGCAGCTCATCTCTAACAGGTTCAGATTACTGCAACTCATTAATTCCCCGGAGTGGTTAAAAAAAAACCCTAATTCAACGAAATCAAAAACACCAGACACCAAAAGAAATGTTACTGCACTAACTGAACCAAACCTCAGAGAAAGACTTTTTGTGGTTATGGTAGTTGCTTACATCAGTCCTGCTGCACATTATGCATTATGTAGCATGAGGTTTAAGATGTCTAAGAGTCAGCAGTATAAACCACAGTACCAGTAACAAGTTTCTGCCCCGTTTGAGTCATTTGAAAATTCCATTTAATACTAAATTCGACTTAATAAAAAGATAATCTTGACAGATAACGCCCCCCCTCAGCCCCGCTCCCAAAAAATCCCTAGTAACATATAAAAAAATGTGTGAAGGAAGGAACCCAAGATCAGTAGATTAGGAAGGAAAAACAAGCAGTAAAAGAGTAAATAGGGCATTATTAATAATTTGATTATTTTTGTAATCAAATATAAATTATCTAAAAAAATAATATGAACCATATAAGTTCTATTATTCAAATTTGGAATCTAAAAAAGAAATCATAAAAAATACTGTATAAATTGTGTTACCTGCAGTACTTCAATGAGCCGCATGGGGGCAACACAGGAACACATTTGTGTGTTTTCCAGCCCAACTAGATGCTAGCAGTGGTTAGCATTATTTAGCAGGAAAAGTTTGTATTCAGTTTCTTCGTGTGGAGTTTGCATGTCCTCCATGTCCATTGATAGGTTTTCATTATGCAAACTCAAATCCTTCAGCAAGCAAATATGATGATCTTAATACAACACTGTAAGTATTTACTTTAAAGATTATTTAAAAATACATTTTTATCCATGTTAAATTTATGCACACATTATACTAGAATTTTTGTTTTTTTTAAATTGAACAAATAAAATCACATTCCTCTTGATAATTTACAAAAACTCAGTAAAGCATAGATACCAAGCAACTGTGTGGTTGCCTAAGTGTTCACTGAACAAACACACTGAAACAAAAGAAAACAGGTTTCCGACTGAAACTAATCAAACCTACAAACAAGGTGACCACTCCCTTTGTTTCTGGCATTACACCGCCCTCTTGTGTGCAAATGATCTAATTACCACATGAAATCAAAACCACTGAATAAAAAAAAAAAATAAAAAATAAAAAAAATCACTGTAGTTCCTTTTCCAGTGTAACATAACACCCAGAACCAGTTGCTCAGACTGACTAAATTCAAACTATATCATGCAAAGAAAAAAAGAAAAGAAAAAAAAAACTAATTACAGATTAAATTCCATGAATATTTAGTTGTTTTGAACTTGTAGGCCGCATACTGCTGCTATCAGGTTCCCCCAGGCTGCACCCTGACCCACCACCAAAATCTCATCATAGAAGTTTTGAGGAAATTTCATAACATATAATGCTTCAGAATATATAAAACAATATTTTATTATTGACTTGAGATTGTCGAAACGTAATATCACATAGAAGCTCAGAACTGTACACTGAGTCTAGATTGCCTCTGCCTACGCAAAATTATAATTTCAGGAGTCTTCCCATCCAAAACGGGACAAAACTTAAGACAACTTATGCCATAGATAGTCAAGTTTAAAGCGTTTGTGAATTTACATAGTCCAAGAATATAACTTTTAGGTAAACATTTGTGGTAGCCAAGCAGGACGTTATTTCATATCAATTCTAATTTATTCAATTTCTCTCTCAGTGTCCCCAACAGGGCTTGTTCTTTGAGCAGACTTTGATCTGTCACAATCAATGCCTGCAGTTTGAAGTCATCATTCTTCTGTAAGTCAGTCAGTAACTTCACTGATTCTTCTAAATGACTGTTGCTCAGCTCCAGCTCTCTCAGGTGTGAAGGGTTTGACCTCAGAGCCGCAGCGAGCAGCTCACAGGTGCTGTCTTTAACAAAGGACAACCTGGGAAAAAATTGTTAAATGTCAAAGTCAAACGAAAGAGGGTGTATTATGAAGGTTTTAGAGATAATGTGCAAGTAATTAAAATTAAACCAAATATGACATTTTCCCCCTTGAGTAGAAAGTTAAAAAACGTTCATTGTTATGAAATGGTTTATCTACAGGTGAAAAGTGAAAAATAAACTGCAGATATACAATTGAGGATGTAAAATTAGTGTAGGACCATGGAAACTGTTCTTTGGCTCACAACTTCCTGATGTGAAATGACTAATGATCAAAACTGCTGAAACTGTGAGTGCCTTCAAATTAAGGCTAAAATAACCCACTTGTTTAGAACTGAAACATCATAAACTCACTGTTTCCTTTACTTTGCTACTGCAATGTAATGTTTTTTTGTTTGTTTGTTTGTTTCGGTCATGTAAACCACTTTCAATTGTTGCTGAAAATTAGCTATACAAATAAATTGCCTTGCCTTCCTAATTTACCTTCCACTTCATAAGTTAATCTGTATTTGCATATGTTTACCCTTTACATATGTTGTCTTATTGGAACAATAATGCAGGTTCTTCATTTAAATATTTTGCTCAGGACTCAAATCTGAACTTTAAATGACTTAAATTACTTGGTAATTTACTTTATTTGAAGGGGGTTGAATAAGACTGTCATGACACTTTCATAAACATGACATAACACCTGTCATGAACATGAATAAGCCTTCATGAATATTTATGACTTTTGTCATAAAGTGTCATTCGGTAAATTATGACACTTTTAATACAAAGTTGAAATTATTCAAAATGTCTTTGTTATGACATCTTGGCATTAACCAAGAAATCATTACTGTTTAAACTTTACCTTTAATAACATAAAGTTACCTGATTTTTAAAGTGCAATCAGTAATACTTTTATAACAAATTTATATCAATAATGATTTATTGGTTAATGTCAAGTTGTCATAACAAAGACATTTTGAATAATGTCAACTTTGTATTAAAAGTGTCATAATTAACCGAATGACAACAGTCATAAATATTCATGAAGGCTTATTCATGTTCATGACAGGTGTTATGTCATGTTTATGACAGTGTCATGACAGTCTTATTCACCCCCCTTCAAATAAAGTGTTACCAATTACTTCTTATTTGTTTATGCTCTTTTTCTGATTTTCCGAATTTTTCAAGGTAATTGTTGGAAATATTATGTGTTGTTGTCATTCTTACATGATTATTGATCTTACCATAGCAGTCTTATATTACTATAGATTTTTGTGATTTTCCTTTGGAAGTGTTGGTCTCTCACTGTCTGT